ACATAGTGTGGGAGAAAGGCAAGAAAAGCTTCACCCTCTCTTTCTTAATGCTACATTGGCACCAATGGAATTTTTAAAACATCGTACAAGATGAAAGAAGATTAAGCTACCTTCTCCTCATGGTCCCATCCAAATTCCTGTTGAAATTCCTTAACATATATAAATATTAACTTCACTGGACTGATAATATGGAACATCTGGTCAATTCTACTTAAGTAATTGTGTTCAGGCATTCAGATCAGGAGACAAACGCAAGATGATGTCTGCTGGGTCACATCAAAGGTTTCTCGCACTTGAAATCTACAGAGACCAACTACCATGAACCGTAACAATTGAGCTAAAGGTAAAAATGACAAGATTTACATGTCCCCTTCTAATAAATTAATCCCTTTTATTTTGCTCTCATACTCACAGGCAAAGTACTGCCAAGGGTCATAAGTGAGTCCAAAATCAGTTGACCGCTCGAGTACCCACAAGTCTGGACGAGGGGAATTTGCAAATTTGATGAGTACATAGGCCACATGGAACAGCTGTGAAAAAAGAAAAAAAATGTATACTTTAGAACAAACCAACACAGAACCTAAAGGTTAGATTCCCCTCCTGCAAGTATAAACATGTGGCAGGCGTACAGAGCTGAAAGTTGTACATGGGAAAAGCGTTATCAAGGTTTGATTGGAAAGTTAATAAGGAAATTTTAAAATTAGGTATAGAATCTTTCCCATACTTCTTCCAGTTTTCAGACATTGTGCTATATTGCTTGCATGTTTATTTTATGAAGCTGTAGGGGTTAAAATTTACAATGGACCTTCTATATAACTTTGCTATAATAACCAGCAATATTCTGTCTCATGAGAAAGATCATTCTCTACATGGGAGAAACTTCCCAGTTAAAGCTACAATTGCTTTTAATTCAGATAAATGATAAATATCAAGGTTATAGGTAGACTGGAGAGTCAGAAACAAGAAGACAATGACAAACTATTTCTGTAGTGCTGCCAAGAAGAATACAGGGATCTATCTGTGAAATCACTAGGAGTTATGCTCAACTGGAATGAGAAAAAGGGAAGGGAAGATTAATAGAAACAACCCAAGGTCAATCAACAGTTCAATAACCATCATTAAAAAAGACAACAACTTAAGGTTCAGATATCACACTAAATATAACTAATTAAAAACAGAGCTAGAAACTTCAAATCATCATATCCTTGTGTCACAGCAGAGGAGAGTGTGCGTGTAAGAATGGTTAAACTCATTTTCACCATGGAAAACCCTTGATTTAGCATGGAGTACACATTTTTTTTCAGGTAGAGAGTCATTCTCAGGTCTTCAAACAACATCCTAGATCACTTCTCAGAACACAGGTGGGACCAGGATGAAAACTGAATTTAATTCTCTGGAAATCCTAAATAGTTCATGAAATGCCCTAATTATATTAGGCAGAAGTATGTAGAGTCATTCTTCCCCAGTGTGATACCATGTCCTTCCCCAGAACAAGGTCTTTTGGGGCAGGTGGCCATGGAAAGAGATCACCTCTTTCTGAAGAAGGACTTTCCAAACAAGCCACTTGGCTTGGTGGATACTGGGAAGTTTAACACTATCTACTTTCTGACTGTGACGTATGCAATAGCTAGGAAATAACCTGCAAAGTTCTGCAAAGCACCAACCCAAATCCTCACTCTGATCAGCCTGCTAGCCACGTAAGAGTCACGTTACCTGCTTTCCCACTGCAGCATTTGCCACAGCAAAGGCAAAACCAATGGAGTCTATTTGAAAGGTCAACCAGCAGGTTCTGTCGGCATGGCCAATCATCAGGGTCCATCAGAAGGCTTCCCAATGCCTTACTCAGAAGAGCCATTCCATAGAACAAGGAGCTAGCCCCCCAAAGCAGGAAGAATATCAATCTGGGGCTGGCTGACAGCTGCAACTGTGAATTACAATACAAAAACAGGACATGGAGGCATGGGCATGGGGGCAAATGGGCAACCCCCCCCCCCCAATCTAGCATACTTTTTCAGTGTTATGCTGTTCTGTAAAATTCTAGAAGCTGTTTCTCCAGGGTCAGGAAGTTTTTATATGACCCAGCTGTTGTATGCTCCATTTGTGAACTGATTATTGCTCTTGAAACACATCATTCCCTAGGGAAATTCATCTATATCAAGCCAGCCACGTGGAAAGAAACTCTCCTTTCTACAATGTACATCCAATCAGTTCCAGAGACAAGGTAGCTTCTGATAAGACCTTCCCAGCTTTCAATCCGAGCTGCTCCCAATTAGTTTGAAGACTGATTTATGCAACCATATCCTTGCCAAGACTGAAATAAATGTGCAGCTTAAAAATGTCAGTGCTCAGAATAAACAAACTCAGCAATATAATTCCCCTTTATAAGCTGGCACTGGCTTTCTCCAAAAATCTTCACTTTATCACCCTGTCAAAAAGTTCTATTTAAAAACACACCCAAAAACCAAAAACCATCCTTATTTTATCAGTAAGAATGTTTAAAGTACAACACAGGAAATGTGATGCTTGCAGGAATATGTGTCTTCAAGTGTTTAAGGCAGGGCACCATTGACTCAGCAAGAAGAGAAGATTTTTACATGCTATACAGTTCTCATGTTTTTATTTCCTATCATGAGGGGTTTCCAGTTTTAGTATTTGCTGGTTGTTTTTTAGTTTATATTCTTGTTTGGTTTTTGGGGGGGGGGAGATGCACACAGAAGTAAACTATGGCCAGAATTGGGATGGTTCTACCAACCAACTGCTCATTCCTTTACACTCCCTTCTCAAGTAAATCCCCATGTTGCAGAGCCATCTGTGGTAGAAATGGTTTTGCATCCTAGTCTGAGACCACCATGGTTCACACAAATGGCACTCAAGGTATAACTGTAGTTTCTACTTGTCCGGTGGCATCAGGCAGAGTGGACGTGCTCCGGGCCCTATCAATGAAGCAGTCCCAGTTGTTGTGGGACCCAGGAAGCATGCCTTCTCTGTCATGGCACCTGTCTTCTGGGATGATATCCCCGCAGAGATTTGGATGGCTCCCACCCTGATGATGGTGAAGAAGCTAATTAAGGATCTTCCAGGTTTGGAGGCAGAGGGAAGGATGAGCCCCTGCTGGATGGACCTCCTTTTTGGGGGTTGTGTGTTTTGGGGAGCTACTTGTAATTTCTTTTTTGTCTTTTGCAATTTTTAATTGTTAGTCACCCAAAGTCATTGGAAGACCAGCAGCCTATAAATTTATGTATAAATAAATAAATACCTCTACCATTCGTACAACATCAAGAAAGGAAAAGATAATCTGTGAAAAAAGTAAGAGAGATATGCATTTCTACATTATAGAAACCTGTGGGCTGGATTCTATATTCAAAACAGCTATGAAAATAAGCAAAATGTTAAGCAGATTTAACTATATGCTGCTCCTGGAAAACATGTCAAGTTTTTGTTTCTTGATTTTTCCTGAATTGGGACTGTTTGCAAAGAAAACTAGAGGAGTAGGGTAGGAAAAATATATTAGAAAAGGTAAGAATGGGTTAGTAGGTTTCTATATATAAGAAATATGATGGAATATATTACACAGTTGTCTTACAGAAGGGCAGAGTATTTATCTACAGATAGTCCTTGACTTATGGCAATTTGTTTAGTGACTGTTAAAAGTTATGATGGTACTGGAAAAGTGATTTATGACCAGTCCTCGGACTTATGACAGTTGCAGTATCCCTACAGTAACATGATCAAAATTTGGGTGCTTGGCAACCAATGGTTGCAGTGTCCTGGGGTGACGTGATTGTCATTTGGCTGGCTTCTGACAAGCATAATCAATGGGAAACTGCATAATTCACTTAATGATTGCATGATTCACTTAACGACCACATGATTCACGTAATGACTACAATGATTCACTTAACCACCATTGCAAAAAATGTAAAATTGGGCGCAGTCACATGATGCCTTGCTTAATGACCACACTGCTTAACAATGAATTTTCTGGTTCCTATTGTGGTCATAAGTTGAGAACTAACTGTATTCCTCTACTATCTTTTCTGACATGCAGCAATTTGTCTAATGCTCTCAGACAGAAGTCTTTCCCATCAGCTAAGTCAACCTATGATTTCCTACATGCAGAACATTTTTTCATCCCATTATCTTATAGTCATAGAACCACAGAAACAAAATCTTAGAATCACAGAATCACAGAGCGGGGAGCAACCTAGGAGATCTTCTAGTGCAACTCCCTGCCCAGGGCAGGAATCCTTAGACCATCCCAGACAAATGGCCATCTGACCTTGGCTTAAAAACCTCTAGTGATGCTGGAGTGAAACTGTTGGTTTGGCGACCTCTTTAGCGTTTAATTAGTTATAATCCAAAGTGATTTAAGAAATGGGGTTTGGTCAGACCCAGCGTCCTTTAAAAGGCTGTGCTGAGGATGCAAGCCTGATGCCCTCCTCGGCTCCCGGTTGCTCTTACTCACAAGGTGCCCACAGAATCCTTTCTGACCCTGCAGGCTTCCTCATGAGGAGCAGCCATCCAGAGCACATGTGGGCGATCTCTTAGTCTTCTCCTTTCTTGGAAGAAGCCCCCACAAGACCGGGCACCTCACTTGATCTTGATTCCAGCCTTGGCAGCACCTCCACACTTTTGGAAATGTTCAGTCTGCCATTTTCCCCCATCAGAAGTCTTTATCACTCTTACATCACTCAACAAAAATTAGCACTACCAAAGGACATGTGCTTTCCAGTGAATCTGGACACAGAATGGCAGCTAAGAGCTAGCCCAGCCACAGGGAGTTAGGGAAATCTGATGATCACCACTCCTCAGCCTAAATCAATCAAACAAAATTGGGTATTCTCAGAGCTGTGTTTCTCAACCTCAGCAACTCTAAGATGTGTGGACTTCAAGTTCCAGAATTCCCCAGCCAGCATACTAGCTGGGAATTCTGGGAGTTGGAGTCCCCATATCTTAAAGTTGCTGAGGTTGAGAAACACTGCTCTGGAAGGCCCCCAAAACTTCATGTTCCTCATGAAAACCGAAACACTTCTACAACAAGTCAACCATCAATAACACTGCATAAGTATGAGTATTACAAGTGTTTCCGGACTGATATTTGTAGCACATCAGTGAGATAATATGCCTGTCTTGCTTTCTCTCAAATTACTGGTGCAGAGCCACTGTCTTCTGAATACAGATGCTTTCCAGCAGTACTAATTAGTCTCATCTAAGTTCTTGTTAGCTAAGCTTCTCTGGCCAGATTCCATGGTCAGCTGCAAGCCCTTAATCTTCCCTGTCCTTTGGCAATGAAATTGGGCTAAATACCAGACCATTAAATCATGGGATCTCCTGCTTCTTCCATGAAATGGCTTCACTCTTTGGGGAATAACTTAGTAACTCAGCGAGAGCTTTGCACCATTTCTCATGTGAGGGAATTCGCTGTTCTCTTTGTGGAAAGCCCCACTGTTTAAAATTACATCAACATGGCACATGGCACTCTGTAATATCAAAGGCACTGTACAGGGTGGTCCTTCCTGGGAAGAAATGA